GATTCCAATAAAATTGTCAAGATAAGCTACGTACCTATAAAAAATAAATACAAGTCAAGATAAAAATCTTGTTACTTTGTATAAGGAAGTGTGAAATTGTTTTATCGATTCATAAGTATATTTCAACAATAGACTAAGGAAAAAATAGTTAAGTGAAAAATATTTTTCACTTGTTCAATACAAATATAACTATTCAGCTGAAAGTTATTATTATGTAGGTACTTTAAAATATTACCAAGGTTTATTTTTTTAACGGCGCAAGGTTAATTACCAACATCGAGGACTAGTATTTTAAGATCTCGTACATACCTAATGTTTGTCAATTGATTCTCAAGGTAGCCTACCTAATATTATTTCTGAATACATTCGTAACTCTAACAGAGCCTGCTTTATCACTGAATATGTAAAGTTCACGGCTTTTACCAGGGAATTTCAAAAAGTAATGAAAATTGATAATATTTCATGAAAACAATGAAACAAACAAACAATTTCTAACATGTGGATGCACGTATTGTAGAACGCTACCTTATAAAAAGAGAAGATATTGGTGCAACAAAAACTTAGGAACTATCTAATTTGAGAGTAGAACTATATGCTAAATATATACATGTTACACGTTTAAGACTAATATGTATTACCACCATAAAGAGTATTCGGCTAGCTGTGTTTGCTATACTTTTCGTATAAAAAATAGCAACTATTATTTTAAACGAGAATTAAATTATAATATACAAGATATCTTTTGACGGAAAGTTTCTAAGGAATTACAAAAAAAATGTTTTTAATAAAAGATACAGGATTCTAATGAATATATAAACGACTTTTACACATTATTGGTTAACTTACAGTTTTGTAACTATAGCTACATGACGTTTTGAACCGACGGCGACGTATCCATCATTGTGAATATGCTGTTGTATAACCACGTCTATACAAAACGATGATTGTTATTTTTAAAAATAGCTGTCGTATATACCGCTTTATGTAACCCTTACATAAGGGTGTTCTTTGTGTTAATGGAAACCATCACATTGCTGTGTTCACCATATAGCCCAAACCTTCCGATAGTCATATCTTTGGACCTTTGAAGGATAAAGCAAAATTTAACAATGATGATGAGGTTAAAGAAGCTAGCTGAATGTAGGAACAAGAACATTTCTTTTTAATCTAATCTAATAAAAATGTTCGTTGAGCGGTGTGAACAGTCTATTAAAATAGAGGCGATTGTGTAGAAAAATTACCCATTTAATTAAATGGATGATTGTGAAACTTTTCCTTTGTATAAGTCAGCGCGTAACACATGAAGCATACCTGTCATTATTCTAATATTGAAACTGAAAGATATTTAAGTCTTCATTTACTGTATAATGTCCAAATAGTTTCAAGAATATTTTCTAATAAAGACCTACATATTTTCATTGTATAAAAAAACAAACCAAAAATTTTGTGTCAGTTTTCCTTTAGTGATAGTGTTCTCATGTTCAAAATGATTAATTATGAACTTGTTCTATTTATATAACAACCGTTTCAATTTATATCTCTATTTTAGAGCTACATGCTCGCTAGGTTCATCACGTTTGCATAAATACATCGAAGCTTTTTAACGTACATAGCAACATAGCGAACAGAGCGCTTTGTGTGTCCAGTCGCTGAAGGCGAAAATAAGGTAAAAGCTCCCAATTTTTTCGGATAGCATGGAAAAAAAGTTTCTAACAGTTTAAAATATTCTTTTGGTGCATTTACAATGTATTGCATTTCTTTTGTTATTCATTAGAAAGCTTACGACTCATTACAAAGTTAAAAACCATCCCTTATAATAAAATAAACAAAAAATATTATTGAAAGCTTGAGATGTTTTAATGGTATGCATATGTTGAATTATAAACTTTTTATTGGTTTTCAAATGATCTATGATATATTGCAATTTTTCAGCCACCCAAAAAACCCTTATGGAAGACCTACCCCTTATAGACAAATTTCCTAAAAATTATATGTGAGTATGATGACATAATTCATTTTTTTTTAAATTTTATTGAATTTATTCTTAATATTTTTTTATTAAATTAATATCAAATAAAAAAGTTTTTATATACATTATAAATGGATGTATTGTACAAAATGTTTTAAAAATACACAAAGATGATGGTAATACCCGCTCGGAAAATTTTACCGAAAAAATGCGATTAATTTTTTTACCATAACTTTATGGTACCTATATATTTTGAGCTTCTAACGGTCATAACTCAGTCAAATTCTGTCCTACAAAAATTAAAAAAAAGCAAATTGTTCAGTAAGAAAAAACCTACAATTTCTTATTCTATCATTTTTTTTATAACTAGTTAATTTTTGAAATATTTTGAGAAAAAGGCGATTTTTTAAAAAATTGAATTTTATTCAAAAGTAAATGAAATATTTTTTTAAATTTAGGCTTCTAAAATCATTCAAATTCCCAGACTTTACTGTTAATACATAAATAAAGTAAATTGCAGAAGGAATACGTTTAATTTTTTTCCCCCAAGTCATTAATTTTAATACCGATTTTTTTTTCTCAAAAATCAAGACAATCATTTTATTTTGATTGTAACTTCATTAGTTTTCATACTAACGACTTTTACCACCACTCAATTTAAAGGTCTTTTCAAGAACTTTAATAAGTGTTATATAAGTTTTCCTCGAAAAACCTTTAATTTTTCCGTTACAGGACGTTGAACTTTTCGATTATAGCTATCTTCGAAATTGACTTCAACTTCTGAGTCATAACTTCTATGCCACCCTCAAAAATTAAAAAAACAATCTCTTTTTCTATTTAATTACCTTAATTTTTGCTTATGATAATTTTTTTGACAAAACTTGTAGTTTTTGAGATATTCGCGAAAAATAGCTCAAAAACGCATGGGCTAAAAACGAACATGTTTAGGCTCAAAAAATATTGACTGTACAAAAAATTCTTATAGAACATTTTTTACTTAGAATTCGTCCCTCTATCGAATCGTGAGGTTATTTTTAATAAAAAAATTCGCACTCTCCAGAAGGGGTGGCATCCACCCCTAAGGTAAAAGCACACATCGGCACTATATAACTTTTGTTTCTTGGGCTATTCCCTAGCTACATTTCAAATTTCACATCAATCCATTCCATCCGAAAAAATTGGTAGCCAAAATGCTTCAGTGTAATAATGTAATTACATGTTAAATTTACAGTTACTTTTTTATACACCCCGGTATATAAAATACCATCTACTGCCATATCCAAACTCTAACGTTTTTACTAACCTTGTTTAAACTTTGCATAAATTTAAATACTACGCGAAAGGGAAAAATAACGATACATTTTTTATATTCGGCGCAGAAGATATCCATTCTCCCTAAATGCATCTTAGACTTAATCGTATGCACCCGTGAAAAATACATTAAAGGCAACCCTCTTGAAAAAGGCAGGAGGTCATACATTTGCCGCCAAGTGAGTCATATCCGGATCGATAATACACAACGCTGGTCTAAAATTTAACAGTTGATTATATATTATTGTTGAAATTATACAGATATCAATGTTAGTGTCATTTAATGTCATATAAATGAGATTGGTAGTGGTTGTGGAAGATTACATCAACATATTTTGGAAATGTATGTACATTTCCTAAATAAATTTGCTTGGGTCTGAATTTGGATTTTAAAATTACACCCACTTGAGCCATGGTTATCTGTAAAATAGATGAATTGCCAGTTAAATAAGGAACAGATTTAGCACATGGTTAACAATGGAAAATAAAAATAGCTGAACCCATTATGTAGGAAAGTAATTGACATAAAATGGAGTTGAAACAACAAATGAAATAAATGTAATTATATGTAGATTTGTTTATTGAATGAGCAAAGCGAGTGTTTAGAAGGAGAATTGATTATTTTTATTAAACTTCCTTGTTGTAAGTTTGCTCTATTTTCCCTCAAATCTTCGTTTTATGTTATATACAAAGCAAAGTCTTCTTTACAAGCAAATATCATTCGAAAAGATATTTCGTACTCAAATATTTGAAAAGGCAATTTTGTCTTAGCCTTACATTTAACAGCTTATTAATAAATCCCGAATTTGATGGATGATTGGTCTCTTAAATCATCTAAATCTATTTGAAAGCGAAAAATTACAGTTCGTTAATCACGTAAGTGATATACAAACAAATATATCGTCGACTTCTGGATCAAAATTGCCTTAGTTTTATCGTAAAGTGGAAACTATAGAAAAGTAAACTTCTTTACAAATAATTGTCAATGACAATAATTTAAATTTTTCAAGGTTTGTTTATTTAAAAGAATTAACATAATTAACAAATATTTGCCATTTATCGAGCCAGTAACATTAGTATTCTTCTGATACATCTTAAGCAATTGTTACAATACAAACATTAAATTGTATTGAGCAAATGGGCTCACAAAATGAATCAGAAAACTGCTTCCACAACATTCCTTCTGAAAAGAGACAATTATTTTGAAGCTAATGACACTGATTCACTGGTTTCGTATCTTATAACAGTGGAAGTTTTGAAAAAAGCGGTATTTTTAAAATAAATAGGAAATATTCTCATTTTTTAATGAAAGTAGCCATTATTTAGCCGGTTTAAAAATACAAAACGAGGAATCAAAACACGAAAAGAGAGGGGGTAAAATCGATCCTGCGGCTAGCTATGTCGCAAGGGACTTTTAATGGAAATAATTACTAGAGCTATTAGGACCAAACACTTAAATACTAATTAGAGAAGCGTGTTTTCTATAAATCACATGCACAATTGGCAATTAACTAAATGCAGTTTACCGATTTCGAAAACGCCGATGGGTTATTGATTGCACATACCATTGGAGAATGCTAATAAATTATAATATATTATATTTGAAGTTGGTGAGTAATGCTATAGTCGATTGTTAGCTATGGACAAACGGTAATTAGCAGAACTGTAGCGAATTGTATGAATCATGGTGGTCGGTCGGTTTCTCTGCAACGAAACTCACCGTCTAGCATAACGCTCCTTGCGTAATCATCCTCGGAGGGCTCACTGCACATTTTCTTCAACGCACTCATTTTCCTGCGGCAATCGATGAGGGAACGGCCGCGGGGAACATGTCACTTCACCTGCGAACGCATTCCGTCTGGAATCGTGATGATTAATAATGGTTCCAGTCCGCGGTTTGCCGAATAAAACCAACTATCGCCCGGAGATTGTTTACGACCGACTAAATAGCGAAGTGTGCTTTGACAGGACAGCTGATCGGCACGATTACGAGGCAAGGCCTTATTTCGCCAGGCAAGGTTCACGGATAGTGGATGGCATGGCTAGGTTGATGTTTTGTTCGTGGACTGCGGACAAGCGCACAAGTGGAGCCCGAGACCTTCGATCGATCGCGCTAGGACGACGCGACGGCGACGAAGGGTAGAATGGAATTTTCTTCTGTTGACACGTTTCTGACGACAGAGAAGTGAAATTTAAATGACTTCCACTCAAAAGTAATATATTTTTACCCGTTAAAAAAGCAGCACACGCTCGGAAAAGGGATGAACTTAAAATCAAAGCAAAAACACAGCTTTGATTTTATTATATAATTAAGTTTATAATGTTACCTCGATAATTAAAATTATGAAACACATTAAAAAGGAAATGTTAAATTTGTAACATGCAGTCAATTAAACTCGACTTGCAAAATTCGTTTGAAAAACTGAATATATGGGCGCCACGTAGCTCGTTCCTACATCTGCAGTGTTTACAGCGGTGGTCATGGTTACCGTCGCGCAGCAATGAAATACGGAGTGGAATAGCGTATACATATTACAACGCAGTTTGGGCTCTGTTTAGTTCGACCATAACCAAATAGTAGTTATTCATGGATTTTTTTGTTATTAAACGTAATTTGTTCAGGTTAGTGTAAAATTGTTACTTACATATTTCTGCTTGTGTGTATTTTAAAAGATTGTAAAAGTTTAAATTGTTTGTAAAGACAGAATAATAGTAATGCTATCTATTGAAAACTCAGTGGTGGCAGAAATACAAAACTTTAATGGAAAAGTAGGTAATTTAAAAGTTTATTTCAAACAAAAGCAGAAGAATAGACTTTCACTATAAAAAATAATGTTGAACACAATCATTTTCCCTATATTTCAATAGTACTTAAAATAAAACTGCCCAATTATATTTATTTATTTTTTTCAATACTTCCCTGGTATGGAAGTCATAAGCCGCCACTGGTTATATCCCAATTAGCACTAACTTCTATTGGTTTTGCGATGTTCAATTTATGTTAAAAATTTCAATTATTATATCACATGGAAATTCCTGTAATTTAAAAGAGTGAATATTCATTTCATGATAACACGAATTAATACAAGAACAATAAAAATTGTGAAAGAAATATTTGTTTGAATTAAAGATTAAAATTATAATTTTCGTGATTTCATATCGTTCCTTCTTACAGAATTCTTTGATACTGCAAATATTTTAACCAATAATTAATGTTTTTTGGGACCTAATTATCTGGAATTAACATTTTAAAAATTAAATTGAATTTTCTTAATATACATAAAAATACAACAGCTAATAAGCAAAAAAAGGAATGCAATGAATTCTATTAAGTATATCAATATTTTACTAATGTATTTTGATTTACTGTTCTAAAAAAAAATTTTCTAAATCTGAAGTGCCCAATTGCAAATAGTTGCAAGTTTTTATATCATTGGTTAAATAATAAATAGAAAATTAATTGTATTCATGGACATTTATTCAGAATTTATATGCTATCAAGTTAAGGTCTTTTTTATAATAAACTGATAAATGATATACGTATGATACATACTTAATCTCCTTATATTACATTCATAGGAACATCAAAGTCGAAAGTTGGTTATAAAAACTAAAAAGGCATGAAAAACTTATTTGACCTTATACAGGCTTATACGAATGTGAAGTTTCATTAATGTTTTCTTAAATAATTAAAAAAATGTATTATCAATAAATAATAACCCAACATTTTTTTGCTTACAGTACATTTCAGGAATGATACCACTTATATTCAATTCAATTTTCCATAGTCTTAAATGGTACAAAAATGTTTTACAATTTAACCAGCTATGTGCTGAGCTGCTTCTTAAGAAATGTCATGAATACGTACTATTTATTTCTGTCGTAAATTCTTGCAACTCATGATAAATATAAAAATATTTTAGTGGGATTAGATATAGTGATATAGAAATCTAGAAATTTAGAGCGTTGGAGATATAGATATATAGGGATATAGAGATATGGGGATATAGAAACATAGAGATTTAGAGCTTTGAATATTTAAAGTTTTAGAGATTTGGATATTTAGAAATATAGAAATGTAGAGATGTAGAGGTATGGTATGGAGATATAGAGATGTAAAGATATGGACAGATATAGAAAGGGTTTAGTAGTTAAAATAGTTATAAGACAATATCTGCAATTCTACATGGATATGTCAAAAATTAACACAATACATTTTGAGACTACAGTTCACTTAAAGATACAAATAATAAGTTATTTGTCTGCATCTCCTTCTTCAATGCAGTTTTGCACCAATATTTGAAATAAACCAGAAATGTTTTTGGTTGCGTCTTCTCCCTAAAGCGAGGTTTTGGGGGTTCAAAAATATGCTGAAAAAAAGATAAAGAAAATTTGATATTTTCTTGACGTTTCCAGACACTTATATTCTTCAGACAAAACTCTAAAACTTGAGATTAAATTCTGTATCTGGTCGGTATTTATATTTCCCTTTCAAAATTTTCCATTTCTTTTACTACAATTTTGATATTATTAAAATTTATTGAATACCTTGTTATCTACCCTGTTACCGTGTTATATCAGGTCCCGCAACTGCTGATTTCTCACCGTTATTATTCCTTAAATGGTGAATAACTTGTCAATACATTCTTGAGAAGCGGTTTAGTTCCATTAGAATCAAGAATAAGAACCGAAATTTTATATCAGGAGGTCTGCCCCCACAAAGCCTAGTCCATTATATATCTGTAACTTTCGGCAACCAGTTATATGGCACGACATAGCAATCCGTAAACCTAAATAATCCCAGTAGTGAGTTAAAGGAGTTTCCATCAATTCTTACATAATTGACAATAAATTCATGAGCTGCCGTTGATTATCTAACCACTTTTTTGACCATTTTCTATTCTCTTATTTTGGGTGTTTTTTCCTTCCCTCTTCCAACAAAATTACTAGGACTGTAACTCCTTTCTGACAAAATTACTTTCTTTGTAAAAATTTAACTGGAAAACTATATGACAAATACCAAAGATAAATACTCGCTTGTTAGTAAAACTATTAACTATACAAAAAATTGATCGATTAAAATGCATCTAATCAATTACACAGGTCAACATTTGATCTAAGAATAATCACCGGACCTGGCCAGGGTACTTATAGGTTTTTTGGATCGCTGATTCCGAATCCGAGGTTGGCTAAGCTCCATCACGTCAGGTCCAAGGTCATTTGAAGGTTAAATGGCCAAAAATGGTCTAAAAAATCTGAAAAAATTTATACGTATGTTTTTGGAGTAGCTGGGTTAAAATCCGCTGTCAGTTTCACCCCTGAAGGACATCTGAAGGTTATATGAAGGTCATATCAAGGTCATTTGAAGGTCTAATCGAGAAAATCGGTATAAAAAATCTGAAAAAATTTAGGGAAGTCACGAAAAAGTTTTTAGGCAGTAATAAAGACCCCGACTACAAAAATATTGTTGCAACAATGGAAAATAATTTCCAAAAATTAGGATGTTTAATGAACCTTAAACTTCACTTTCTTGATTCTCATCTTGACTTCTTTCCAGAAAATCTAGGGGCATTCAGTGATTAACAAGGTGAAAGAATGCATCAGGACCTGAGTGACTTTGAGAAAAGATATCAGGGTGTTTGGGGAAAGAATATGTTGGCCGACTATTGCTGGTAGAGACACAAACGTAGAACATAAAAGAAAATCAATTAGAAGATCGTTTGAAACTAAACGTAAACGATTCAAAGTTGACGATTAATTTGTATGCTAAACAAGGAGATTCATTTATTGAAAACAATTTTAAAAACAGTAAGGTGTAAATTGGGTGAAAGTCTCACCTTAATGGCTGGACACGTTACTGTTCTTGCCTTAACTGGCCGGGACATTCAGTCGTCTTGACTTAATTTAGAAACATTTTGAGCTTATTAAGAGTTAAAAGAGGTTTGTAATGAAAAAAATAAATAAAATATTTCCCTTCACTACAATGTCAAAACTTCTATGAATTTCTAATTTTGGAAAAATTATCTCTACCAATTTTTCAAAGTTCAACTTTGCTATATCAGTTTGATATACCCTCAGTTTGTTTTAAAAGTTGGAACAAACACTTTCAGATCATTAACCAACTGTATATCTACTGAACACACCATTGCGACAGGTGTTGTGACTTAACATATTAATATTCAAATTTAGCCTGCCAGTCGTACTCTTATGTAAATAACTATAAAAATAGATGTTACACGAGCATTAAGTAATTTTATAACACAATTAATAGATAGATGGGAAACCCTAGAATTACAATAATTAAAATACATATGACTAGGCGTTTTTGGAAAATATATATGATTGATCAAACGGATCACTAATAATAACTGTTCTTGGATTTCAAAGTGGATGTCAGGGCATCTGTTTTTAAATATAAAGGACAAACAAACGAGACTCAGGCATATTTAACCTCACGGCGGCGGCGGCGCGCGGCGGCGTGATTAAAATTTGGTGTATCAATTTTGCGAACACTTTTTACGAGTAGGTAATGTCATTTTAAAATAAAAATTCTGAAGAAAAATGTGAATATTAATTCCATTCCAATGTCATGTCGTATTTCCTTATAAATAATAGAAATTAAAGTAATTAAAATTTCTCCTTAAATTTCTGTAACATTTTTACTCAGCCAGGTATGAAATTCAAGATAATCATCTTAATTTGCCCTGAAATTAAATCTTAAATGTGTGATTAATACCGTATGAATAGCATAGTGCCTCATTTCGTCATGAATGTTGAGAACCATAAAAGTTGGCGTTATGGAATGTTAGATAACAGTCTCTACAATATATTATATTAGACACAGGAGTCATGTGATTGAAATATTTGATTTCATGTATATTTAAATTAGATAATATATTGATATGAAAATGAGAATCGGTTAACTTTCCCAAATTCCACATATTACATTATATATTCAGATCAGAAAGTAAATTGTTTTAAACTAATCAAATCGATCAATTTCAGAAGTCTCTTGCTACAAAATTTTGATATTTTTTTTTG